TCATCCCATCCAAACTGACAAGTATCTGAACACGAAAATCTGCAATTACACTCCATTAAACAATATCATAAATATTTATTGTGTTAATAAATATTTGATATTTTAGCGGAAAATTCAAGGGAATTGAACGTGATTAATAAATAATTCAAACCTCATCACTGTAAGTATTTATTTTTACCAATCAGTGCAAAATATTTAGTCGTAATTCACAAAAGACTGGTCAAAATATAATAATAATATTTTGTGCACGCTGCTCTTTTCTATTAGGTGTATTACAAAGTATAAAACATTACATTATTATTATTTATTACATAATCACTTATCAGATAAACTTTACTATATAATGAACTATTATCCTAATTAAGCCACTTTAGGCATGATACTAAGTGACAACTTGAGAAACTTCATGGTAAGAAAATGTGTGGTGAGGACAAAATATAAACTTATGAATTATATATACTTTATTAAATATTCTATATAATTGATAGAGACATAATTTTTCAGAGTATTAAACTGAGAAAAAAACTGATTCTCGGTGATGACAATCATTAAAAAATGGGCAAAACTGATAGGTTGAGAATAGAAAACGCCAATAACAGATTTGACGTAGTATTTATATAATTGCACCATAATTGTTAATTATATACTGTGTATAATGTATATCAACAGTACAGATTCACGCACTGAAATAATGAAATGGAAGAGGAATACAAAGTTAGCAAAATGTTTTGATGATAGTTGATAAAGTTTTCGGCAAGAAAAAAATACTCCAATTTACAAATGGCGTCATATACAGTATACTACAAAGTTCATAATAAAAACTTTTACTTTTTTCAATAAAGAGTATTTGAACATTTTTTTTTTAAGTAAAAAAGATCCAACGTAAATACAGTATCTCCGATAAAAAGAATTGCACCGGAGTAGTAAAAACTCTTCGACCATATAATGATCAACGTACGTAAAATTTATAATTATTGCTTACAAAAACTGCCAAGGAAAAAGTAAATATTAAAGGCAGATCGTTCTACAATGTACTGTACAATTTCAAATCTAATTTAATTTTTATTGTAATAATATACAAATCTTGTAATATCCCATCGGTATTATGTATACACCGATAGATTTGATTGTTCCAACGGTATAAAAGAGTATAAAATCCATCATAAAAAAAGTATAAAAAAGTAAAGTATAAAATCCATCGGTGTATACGCCATACACGATTAGATAACAAGTATGTATTCTACACCATATACATTTGTTTGGTCTAAATTTCTATAAAAACTTATTACAGTATAAAATAGGGGAAAGTGCGAGGCGTATGTAACCAACGTGCACATACATCATTACTTAAATTTGATAATTTTTTTTAAATTTCTTACTTAATAATAAACATTTCTTTCAAAATCAAACTTAAAATCTTTAATTACGCCATTATTCTTATATTTGTTAATCAATTTTATATAATCTTGGCTTCTCTTTTTATAAAGAGGATCAGTTCATTCAGTTGTAAATATATTAAATTCAGGTCGACCATTCCAAAAATTCCTCCAAATTTTTTAAAATCATTAAATAAAAGTGATAAATATTCAATTGAAGGACAATGTTTATAAATTTGAGAGAATCTTCATTAAATTACGTTCAAAACTATAAAAATCATAATATTTTAATTAAATATTCTCCATTATTTTCAATAATACAAGTTGCTCAAGATAATGGAAGATTAACTTTTTCGATTCATCATTTCCAATTAAAAGATTATCAATAGTTTTTAATTTAAAAAGGTCCTGTAATAATGAATGATGTATGTTTGTAACCATAAATTATTAAATGATTGAGTGTATTTGCTTTTTTTACCAAAGCAAAAAATTTTTTTCATAAAGATCTATAAAATAATTACTTTAATATTATCTTTCTATTGAAAATATTTTAATTAACACGTGTGTCTGTATTAATAATTGTTAATCTTTGTATATTCTGACATGTATTTGTTAATCCATAAAAGTATATAGAATCAATTTGTATCACATATTAACTCACAAAGTGATTCAAGTCGGACTTTGCGTCTGGAAAATAAAAATATTTGATGTCTAATTGATTTTATATCCAAATATTTCAATTCTGAACATTTTTCCATCAATATATTATAAAATTCTTGTTGCAAAAGAAATTGATAATAAGCCAAAGAAGATCAGAAAGAAATTATATTATTAATTATGTTCACATTAATACTCCTAAAGAAAGATAAATAATCAAATAAAGGTGATTGACGTGACGCTTGAAGTAACCTGTCTTCATCGGTTAAGTAGTAATCTTAACTGTATGCAGTGTGACCGTCACCATTAATAATTATGCTACCCAAGGTGGTGTGGTAAGACTACCCGTAATTATATATGTCGTACACAGAATTTTTATAGAAATTATTAATAGAGTGACACCAAGGATTTCTCCATAATACTGGAATTACAACTTCGCACCATAATCTATTAACCATTAGACATGAAAATAAAGATTTTGAATCATGTAATTCTTCAAATATCAATAAAATTACGTCCTGATTAAATCTAGACATAATTTTTTTTCTCTCTCCCCAGAGAAATTTAGGTATAAAAAATTTGTAAAAAAAGAGTTAAATAAACATTTAAGTGTATAAATATGAGTATCGGTAAGGCCCTCTTATTCTTGTCCGCACATGTCATTTAATGAATCCAACAACCTCCCTTTGTCCTCAGGAGACCATTTTTTCGATTTATCCATTTTCCAAGGAGGTTTACTTTTATACCCCGAATACTAATCGGATCATCCTTGTGTGACGAATTTTTGATGACAGGCCCTATAAAGAATTTTCTGGGAAACATTCCAATAAATGATCATTAAGTTTTCATTTCAAAAAACTCCGATATGTGATCAATTTTCTAAAATTTTTATAGGGAGGGTCGATGATTTTCTGCATGTGGTAAAAGTTAATTCTTTGATTTGGCCAGAATTATGCAAGGTCGTTAAATTCTGGCCAATTTTAATGTCAGCCAGCTAAATCAGGCGAAAATTATAACTCTATTCTGCGATTTCTGTGAAACACAGATGTAGCTAAAAATTTTTATTCGTTCGGGAATTAACTGCGGACTGTAAACTAACGAAAAAAAAAATAATTTTATTGACTTTATGTCGCAAAGAAATTATATATATATATATTTTTTTTAAAAAAAAAGGAAAGAAAAAACATATGATTATCCGACCAATTAGTCATTCAAATTTACCTGTCGGTAATTTATATAGTCACATTTGATTTCAATATTTGGAAAGCTGTTGAAAGTAAAATTTTAGTATTATTGATCATTATTTAATTTTTTTTTTTTGTTCCCTGTAGTTTCTTCTCTTCATATTCTGGTCACGCCATTGAAGAATTGTATGATGTATTTTATTAAGTTTGCAAGTTTCATTGTTTATCTTAAAATAGTTGACAAAAACCAATAAAAAAGGAGAGAAGAAATTGGGATTGACCTAATTAAATAAAATATGGAACATAGACATTTCTTTTTGTCATATTTTTTTGATGGTTCTTATTAATAAATTTGACGAATACTGCCCTTTTTTCATAAATAATATTTGTCTTGACTTCTTTAACGTATTTACGTTACTCATTCTAGGAGGATTCATAGCAAATTAAATTAATTTTTTGTAAGATATGTTAAGAAATACAATGAATTCGGTGGATTTGTGTAATGAATAAATGATAGAATGTGATAGAAGCTTCATGTTTACCTTTTAAAAAACTTTTATTATTCTATTCATTATATATTCTATTTCATTAAAAAAAACAATGAACAATGAATAAATCAAGAGTATAAAAGGAATATCAATGAAAATCAGTGTTTTGGTGGCTTATGGTGCGGAACAAAGAAAAGTATATTCGTAATTCCGATAGCCTTTTCCGTGCTACAGAAAATCCAAGATCTTCAGTAAACAAACATCCCTGAACTAAGTATCAAAATTAGTATTAATTAATTATTTTTTTGATTTTAAGAATTCATTTACCGAGTTTACCATACATAAAGTAATATTATAATATTCTTTTTTTCGAGTATAGTAGGCAACTCGATCTTGTTACATAAAATTTATTTTTTTAGTTTCACGATGCTGAATTTTAACCAGTGAACATGGATGATCTCATAATTAATCATGAATCCAGATTTTTTTCTAACGTTTTCGTGTCTTCAAAGTAGTTTGCAGATTTTGGTTTTGAGAAATCGGAAAGGAATTGGCAAATCTAATAAAAAGCAAGTTTATTCTATAACAAATAATAAGCTATTGTACACGTTTATATGGATAAGAAGTACTTTGTGTTTTAAGGGTTTAACCTTCAGATTTTTTGCAATCTACAAACTATAAACTTTTAGTTGTCTAGCAAGTATAATACAATTATTTAGTTATTAATATTTTGATTTTTTTAATCCAATTTGAATAGTTTTTAATTTATAATAATAACTACAATTATGAAAATTTTTATGATCGTAGTTGCTTACATTAATAACCATGTGAAACTTATAAATAGATTTATCTCTTTGTTATAACGCAAACGTATTACGTGAAGCCAAATCGGCAATGGATTCGGGTATTACCGAAGATCAGTTTTTTGGTAGCTTATAGTATAGAACAAAGAAAAGTTGAACGCCTATTTTTGCTTATACGTTCCAAGTTCAAGTATTTAGCTAATTGTTCATTTTAATGATTATTTTAGGAGATGATCGACAAATTCTAGTGCATGACTACTTTTACTGTTGTGTAATGAAGAAAAATCCATTGCCGAAAATTGATAGTATTTTGACCATTATTAGCCATGACAGTTAATTAACCGGTAAAAAAATTCCATTTCGTTTGTATGTCTAAACATTCTCGTGATTAGATAAAATTGTAAATTAACCAATTTTTCTCTATATAAATAATTGTTTTTTCCCCAACTTGCTTCTTATCTCCTCACAATTATTTCTTACATTTTTTTTTTAAATTATCTTTACACTTTACAATCGTCCTTTATTTTCAATAAAATAAATGGTACGAAAAAAAGGCCCCGTTTGGGATCATTTTGAAATACTAAATAATGCTGTCAATTCACATCCCCATGTAAGATGTAAATACTGTCCCAAGGAATATAAACGAGCTGTTCCTAAGCGAATGCAATTTCATCTTGATAAAAATTGCGCACAAGCACCAAATTCTACTAAATCTCAGTCCAATATGGAAAAATCTCTTAATCTTTCATTATCCAAAGTATTATCACCCTACAATTTATCAAATAGGGAAACGGATGATATTGACCTATCGCCAGAAGATTTGCACCATCTTGGATATTGTTATCAACGTGGTATAGGAACCGAAAAAAATGAAGTAAAAGCATTCCAATTATACAAAGTAGCTGCTAATAAAGGTCTTGTTATTTCAATAAATAATCTTGGTTATTGTTATCAACATGGAATAGGAACTGAAAAAGACGAAGTTAAAGCATTTGGATTATATAGAGAAGCAGCTGAGAAAGGTTGTGTTGAATCAATGCGTAATCTTGGATATTTATACCAAAATGGAATAGGAACTGAAAAAAATGAAATTAAAGCGTTTAAATTATATAAAGAAGCAGATGAAAAGGCGATATTAATGCAATGCGTAAACTTGGAGAATGTTATCAACATGGGATAGGAATCGAAAAGAACGAAATTAAAGCATCTGTATGGATTAAAAAGGCGTGTGAAAGTAATTAAGCCAAATTATGTATTAAGAAACTTTTCGTAATTAAATTATATTTTTCATTTATTTTAAGTTTATTTTCTATATATTTATCTAAATTCGTTCAAAATTACGTACACATTTCCTTTACATCATATTCGATTATGCAAAAACTATTTTTATGATAACTAAAACAATAATTAAAATATTTATTAGAAAAATTTTTTACCCATTAAGACTTCCTATTAGGTATTTATTAATAATTTTATTGTTAAAGAATTCTACGTACTGTATATTAACATTTAAGATAATACAATCATTCTATACTTTTATATAATATGAAAAACAATATTATTTATCAATTAAATTATCCTAATATTTTCTTTTAGAAAAAAATTCAATAAATATATTATATATATTATCGCGTAATTTCATTATATATACCACTATAGTATTTATGCTTTCTTATACTACATTTATTACTAAAATATCAGGAATATGTTATCAATTATATATCGAATTTTATTCTATAGTCAATTTTATTCCACATTGATGCATTTATTATTTTATTATGAAGTTCCAAAGATTATAAATAAATAAACACTACGTAAACGACGACTTTAATGATCTTCTAGAAGTAGTATATAACTAATATAAGTTATTATTTATTTATTTATTTTTATTGTAATTTAGCGATTAACCGGTTAGTACAGCTGAAAATTAGCCACATAAAATTAGTTCAATTACTTTGAACACGGGACGAAGCCACATTATCTACGAAACTTATCGGTGACCTGAGACGAATACTACAAAAATAATAATATATAGAAACGTTTTTTTAAAAAATAAGTTTTACTATTTTCGTTGCTTAGATCTAAAATAAGAGAGTATTAACTGTTAGACGTTTTCTTAAAAAGAAAAAATAAAATAAAAAAAAGGAAATAAAAAAGGCATATCTTATTGTACATTTGAAGAAAAAAAAATTTTGAATTATTTTTGGAAACTTATCAGTTCCGTTCATAATCCATAAATTTTGACCAGATTCCTACAAAATAGAAAAAATGTAAAAAAATAACGTTTTTACATGAAGTTTCACCACTTCCCAAGGATTCGGTATCGAAGAAGAGCCCAACTTCTTCAAAAAAAGCATTAATAAACATTTTTTATGTCAATAAACCAAATTTTCAACTCTGAACATTTTTTATCAAGATATTATAAAATTCTTGTTGCAAAAGAAATTGATCTGTTAGTTAAAATTTAAAAACCGTAAACCCGATATTAACGGATATCCGTTATAACCCGTTACGGGTCTGAACACTACCTGAATAGATTGATTTGATTAAGTGTAACAATGATAAAAAAACGAACCAAATTGGGTTTTCAACTCTGAAGCCTTTTTTTTAAAAAAAATTTATCTTCAATTGATAATTATATTTCTTTAAATTTATTTTCCCTTTTTCTTCTTTGGATAAATAAAATTTTTTGAATTTCGTATTGGAACGGCATGGCTTTATCATCACGAATAATTTTAAAGGTCCAATTTCAAATTTTAAAGTAACTTGAAATTAATTTTGTAAATAGGAACTGATGGAATTTAAAAATTGGATAATTAAATTTATTGATACCGAACATTTGCAAGGATTACGTAATATCAAGCAACTTATTAGTATGTTTATCCTGGTGCTAGCCACAATAGACTCGAACATTGTTTGGGTAACGAATTTGGATCATACATACTGTAATTATAAGTAAGATTCTCTAATCTATAATGTTTATTAGGCGTCGCACATCTTTCTCGCTCGTTGATAAAAAGGATTCAGGAGACGCAGCCTGAACTGGAGCATGATGAAAATGGTTTAAAATGTGACATTAGCCGCATTATGTCATGACCTTGGTATATAAAATGTTTCATAATTTAGTACGCATCGATCTCCATATATATTTGATATTGGCACGCGTTTGTCACTATCTTGGAATGAAATCCGATTTCGATTTCTCGAGACTCGAAATTTTCGCGCGTTATTGATGATCATGTATGAATTAAATTAGGTAAAACAATAGATTATATGAATACGTGATACTTTTTTAGAGGCGGATTCAACTCTCAAAATATCTGACAGTATCTTTGATGCAAATGAATATTTGAAGATGGATGATACAATCTTAAATAAAATCGAATATTCGAACGATCCGGTAAGTTAAATTATAATACTTATAAAAGTATATTTAATGATTGTCGTAAATTTATTTTAGAGTTTTAAAAATCAAAAGATATTATTAAACGCATTCGAAAAAGAAGCCTTTATAAATTTGTTGATGGGTTTTTAGTTCCTAATGATCTGAAAGATAAACTGACCGAGGTGAAAAAAAATTATTATTATCAATATAATAAATAATAAGTTCTAATTTAATAAATTTTCTTTATTTGTAGAAAGAAATAAATGAAGAAAAAATTATAGCTTATCAGAATAATGATGGACTTAAAGTAGATGATATAATCGTAAATCGACTTGTATTAAATTATGTCATGATTACGTAGTTCCATATTTATTCCTTACATTTTTATAGTTTCCAAATTAGTCGTTCCAGAACAATTTGTGTTATTATTATTAATTTTATTATTATTATATTATTAAATATTATTATTAAATAGAGATAACTGGTCTATTGGTTATTTTTCGTCATATTAACATCATTTAATGTATAGGTTCAAAGAAAGAGACTTATCCGGTTATCCCTTACTTTAAAGTCTGATATTACGATTTTGGATATTACGATTTTGGATACAAGCAAAATTCAAATGACACTCCTACTAATCTAAATAATTCATTACCAGCACATTATAATTTGGAAGATAAAGTTGAAGAAGATAGAAGTATTGACGAAGATAAAAATGTCGATGAAGATAGAAATATTGATAACTATTGTAAAGAGTGTTGAAGATTAAGTTCAAGACAATATTAGACGAAGTAAGAGATTTATTTTCAACTGGTTAACTAAAACTAATATAATAAATAATTTTCTTTATTTTAGACTCATTATTATTTAGACAATCCTTCTAATTTGTCTCAAAAAAAAATGTTAGAAAATATTGCGGCTAATTTTATTCTGTCAAATGGAAGACTATAAACGTCGCCAAGATCATGAAGAGATAAGATTAGAAATACATTTTATCGGGAATAATAAAAAATGTGTACAATGAGATTTAAAAGTTTTTAATAAAATCCTCCAATTAATTTTTACTATCTAAATTAGGGCAGAATCCCGGAAATGTTATTAAGGATCCAACTAATGAGATACTGGCCAAAAAAAATTAACTTCGTGGCATGTGTTACAATTTTACCATTGATATTTTTTTTTATAATACAATAAGAAACGAATTGATAAACCTTATTTTAAAAAGCTGGTAAATAAGATAGACTTTTTAATATTAGTAAATTTAAGAACTAAAATATGGATTTATATTGATGTAAATTTTATATGTAAGCTAGCTAACATGGGCTGGGATTATAGTTATATAAAATTGCCGTATGTTTAATGAAATTTTTTTTCAAACTTGCTTCACTTAGTCTTAGTCTTAGGTCTTGAATCATATAAAATCTCCACATGCGTTTTGAATTGCTAAATCGTTACGTAATTGAATATTCAAAATGATAGCGTATTAAGGAAATTAATTAACACAAAGAAAAACAAATAAACCGGAACCTGTCGAATAAAGAAAAGATTGGTATTGCAAATCGACAATACAAATTTTGATCATCGTTTTGGTGATTATTAAAATTTCGGACGCGTGACTTTCATTTACTGTTGTGTAATGAAGAAAATTCCATTGCCGAAAATTGATAGTATTTTGACCATTATTAACCATGACAGTTGATTAACCAGTAAAAAAATTCCATTTCGTTTATATGTCTCAACATTTTCGTGATTAGATAAAATTGTAAATTAAACAATTTTTCTCTATATAAATAATCGGTTTTTCTCAACTTGCTTCTTATCCCCCAACAATTATTATTTCTTTCAATTTTTTTTTAATTATCCTTACACTTTACAATCGTCCTTTATTTTCAATAAAATAAAATGGTACGAAAAAAAGGTCCCGTTTGGGATCATTTTGAAATATTGAGTAATGTTGTCAATTCACATCCCCATGTAAGATGTAAATACTGTTCCAAGGAATATAAACGAGCGAATGCAATATCATCTTAATAAAAATTGCGTACAAGCACCAAATTCTACTAAATCTCAGTCCAATATGGAAAAATCTCTTAATCTTTCATTATCCAAAGTATTATCATCCTACAATTTATCAAATAGGGAAACGGATGATATTGACCTATCGCCAGAAGATTTGCACCATCTTGGATATCGTTATCAACGTGGTATAGGAACCGAAAAAAATCAAGAAAAAGCATTTAAATTATACAAAGTAGCTGCTAATAAAGGTCATGTTATTTCAATAAATGATCTTGGTTACTGTTATCAACATGGAATAGGAACTGAAAAAGACGGAGCTAAATCATTTGAATTATATAGAGAAGCAGCTGAGAAAGATTGTGTTGAATCAATGCGTAATCTTGCATATTTATATCAAAATGGAATAGGAACTGAAAGAAATGAAATTAAAGCATTTAAATTATATAAAGAAGCAGATGAAAAGGCGATATTAATGCAATACGTAACCTTGGAGAATGTTATCAACATAGAATAGGAATCGAAAAGAATGAACTGAAATTAAAGCATCTGAATGGATTAAAGAAGCGGGTGAAAGTAATTAAACCTAATTATGTATTAAGAAACTTGTCGTAATTAAATTAGATTTTATTCGTTCCTTTACATTACAATTTATATTTTTCATTTACTTTTATTTTCTATATATTTATCAAAATTCGTTCAAAATTACGCACACATTTCCTTTACATATTTGATTATGCAAAAACTATTTTTATGATAACTAAAAGTGTGACTGTCACCATTACAGCTGATTTCATTAATGTACGGGACACTTGGCAAATTTTTGCCGAGAGTTGTGGTTGTCGGTAGCCAATCAGCCAATCAATTACACTTTGAATCCCAAAAAATGGGTCACGTGATATTATTTAAATCATGTGTTCGTTATTTTTTTCAATTTGCCAAGTGTCCTGTACATTACGAAATCAGCTGCAAAGTGTAATTGATTGCCGACAACTCTCGGCAAAAATTTGCCAAGTGTCCCGTACATTATGAAATCAACTGTAATATAATCATGTTACCCGAGGTGGTGTGGTAAGACTACCCGTAATTATGTCGTACAAAGAATTTTTAGAGAAATTGATAGAATGGCGCCAAGGATTACTGGAACTACAACTTCGCACTATAATTTATTAACTATTAAACATGAAAATAAAGATTGAATCACCTTGTAATTCTTTAAGTATCAATAAAGTACATCCTTATTGAATCTGGACATAAATCTTATTTAATCCTTTTTTCATAAATTTTTTATTTCTTTGAGGAAAAAAAAAAATAATTATGATATAAAAGTAATTACCGGTAAACCCTGAATAATGCATTAGATCATCCTTTGTGTGACTTCAAAAATGAATTTTTAATATTACGTATCGATGATTTAAATATTTTAAATATAGTAAGTAATGTAACTAAATTTTTTATTCGTTCGGGAATGGATATTATATTAATTAAAGATTATAAACTAAAGAAAAAAAAATAATTTTATTAACTTTAACGTCGAAAAGATTTTTTTTTTTTTTTTTAAAAAAAAAGAGAAAAAAAAAAAACGTTTGTATTACGATTAGCCGGTCAATTAGCAATTCAAATTTTACTTAATCCCGTTATTATTAATAAATTTGGCGGGTACTGTACATCATTTTTTTATTTTTCACAAATAATATTTTGTCTTTAACTTCTTTAACGTATTTACGTTACTCATTCTTTCAACAATTTCTATCAATATCTACAACAAAAAAAAAGAATTTAAAGAATGAAAAATAGATAAATGCATTAATAAACAAGCCATGTAACTAACTTTTTATTTATTAAATTAAAATTTTCTTTATTAATTTCCTTAATATGAACAATTTCTTTTAAATTTTAACGAAAAAATAGAAAAAAGAAAGGATAAACTATAATAAATCTTTTTTTACTTTTTTAACCAATTAAAATCATTTTTTTGTAAGATATGTAAAGAAAAATAGAATGAATTTCTTTTTGTGTAATGAAGAAAATCTGTGTTACACATCCATTGCCGAAAATCATTATTTTGGTAGTATTTTGACCATTATTAACCATGTAATTTTCCATGACCCGTTAATTAACCGGTAAAATAATTCCATATGAAAGGCACGATTATTCTATTGCTACTTTCGTTTATAAGCTTAAAACATTTTCGTTGATTAGATAAAATTGTAAATTAACCAGTTTTTTTCTATATAATTAAACGTTTTCTTCTTAACTTGCTTCTTATCTCTTCACAATTATTTCTTACATTTTTTTTTTTAATTATCTTTATAAAATTATCCTTTATTTTGAACAAAATGGTACGAAAAAAAGGGCCCGTCTGGAATCATTTTGAAATAATAAGCAATACTATCAATTCACATCCCCATGTCAAATGTAAATACTGTTCCAAGGAATATAAACGAGCTGTTCCTGAACGAATGCAAACTCATCTTGATAAAAAGTGCGTACAATCACCAGATTCTGCTAAATCTCAGTCCAAACAACAAAATACTACGTCTAATTTGGACCATTTAAGCGAGGAAGAGAAAAAATCTCTCAAGCTTTTATTATCCAAAGTATTATCCCCCTACAAGTTATCAAATAAAGAAAAGGTAAAAATGCAAACGGATGATATTGACCAATCGCCAGGCGATATGCGCCATCTTGGATATTGTTATCAGCGTGGTATAGGAACCGAAAGAAACGAAGAAAAAGCATTTGAATTATACAAAGTAGCTGCCAATAAAGGTCATGTTATTTCAATAAATGATCTTGGATACTGTTATCAACATGGAATAGGAACTGAAAAAGATGAAATTAAAGCATTTGAATTATATAAAGAAGCAGTTGAAAAAGGTTGTGTTGAATCGATGCGTAATCTTGGTTATTTTTATCAAAATGGAATAGGGACCGAAAAAAATGAAGTCAAAGCATTTAAATTATATAAAAAAGCAGCTGAAAAAGGTGATATTAATGCAATACGTAACCTTGGAGAATGTTATCAACATGGAATAGGAACCGAAAAGAACGAAATTAAAGCATCCGAATGGATAAAAAAAGCGGTTGAAAGTAATTAAGCCAAATTATGTATTAAGAATTTTTTCGTAATTAAATTAGATTTTACTCGTTCCCTTTACATTACAATTTTTCTTTTACCTCAAGTTTATTTTCTATCTATTTATCAAAATTCGTACAAGATTTGCGCGCTCGTTTCCGTTGACGATCATTAGTTCACGTTTACACATTCGAATATGTAAAAACTATTTTTTATGATAGCTTAAACAGCATCTCTTAACTGTAATTGCTAAGCTTTTTCTTGGACTCATAATAAAATTTTATTAGAAAAATTTTTTACTCATTAAGACTTCCTATTAGGTATAATAATTTTATTATTAAAGAATTCATACGTATATTTTTAAAATTAAAATTTATGACAATAATATCATTCTATATAATATATGAAAACAATATTATTTATCAATTAAATTATCCCAAAATATTTCAAAAAAAAAAAAAAAAATTCAATAAAAATATTTTATATATTATCGCGTAATTTTATGTTTATATACATATCGCCATAAGATTTATACTTATTATACTTACTACATTATTACTAAAATATAAGAGATATTTTATCAATTTTATATATCGATTTTTTACGATTCAATTAAATACCAAATTTTTCCACTTCGATTCACATTATGAAATATGTATTATTTTTA